CTTTAAGGATATTGTTAAATTTGAGAAACCGATTTTTCAGTTTTTCATCCCAAAATCGCAATTATGACGGCACCCGTAAGATGGCATATGTGTAAATGTTACTTCATTTAGTCACTGAACACTGAAGATTTGTTTTTTTTTTACCCAAAAGAATGTATGAAAGGCAGTTAATAAGGAGTTTGGGCGAAGGGTGACAATATCCTTGAATGTGTGTTTTTAGTCATTTTGGCTTCGGAATCCTATATTACAACACCAGTAAAACAAAAAACAGCTATAAAAGTTGGTATATAACAAAGTATATTTGCAAAAAACAAAGATATATGTAGGCCATTTTGAGAAAGTTATATATTATGTTACTGATGTGCTAATCATAATGAAATGACACATATATTTTATATATGGTATTGACTTACTGGTACAGTAGAATTTTTACTTACTGTTTGAGAAATGTGATATGTGGTCATATGAACATTTTTAGCTGCCAGCAAGAGCAGTTCTTAGTATTAGCAGTAAAAGCAGGAAAAGGAAGTGATAACAACTTTTGCGTTGGTAGGGTATCTTGACCCAACTATTCCCTCTAACAGGGCCGCTGTTATTATTATGTTGACATTTCTCATGAGTCGAGTACAGAGAATAACTGTGAATTTAACCCGAGACATACCTGTGTATATCTAGTGAAAAATCAATCTGTGGCCCTGGAAGACGTCAATCCAACTTGATCTAAATATGTTTCCCTATTTATCGTGAAAGTAACAATGCAATTTACATGAATAATTTAAAGTTAGCGACTAAACTCTCTGCGTTTCATTTTTTTTTTAAATTGCGGTGTGCGGATTCAAGGCTTCGTAGGAATTTTCAGTTGGTCGGTTTAAATTCTGGTAAGGAGAAACGCTCTCCAGTTCTTGGTATGGTCCTGTTTCCCCGGTCTCGGTGAAGTTGGTTTCTTGTAGCCCAGACATGGTCCTCTCACTTTTAGAGTTCGCTGTGGTTTGTTTACCGCGACATCGCCTATAAAATCGACACCCGGTGACAATAACGTAAACGACAATAATTGCAAGACAGGTGGCGCTGAATCCTATCGCAAGATATGCCGAGGCAAGGGCCTGTCTTGAAAAATGCAATGATGTCAAAGGTTGGGCTATATCCCCAGTCGCCTGTGTGACGACATAAGATGCCGTCAACTCTTCTGGTTCATCGACACCTGTGGTGCTATCTGTATGCTTTGAAGATGTTTCAGTTACGACATTGTTAGTCGGCGAAATGAATTTAAAGCAGTCCTTCATGTTCAAAGTCAAGTGTGAGGGGGCACAACCTTCCGTCAAAAAGCCACTAACTTCCATCCCCTTAAATCCTATTGGGCTCTTACAAAAAGTCCTGTCTAAGTCGATATCTCTTCCTTTATCACGATATAAACGAAGCCATGCTACCTTGCAGTCACAGTGGAATGGGTTACCGCCAATCCTCAGTCTATGCAAGCGCGTGAGACGTAATATGGTACATTTGTCCAATGTATTCAATTGGTTCCCATCCAAGTATAATCGCTCCAGACTTTCCTCTACACCAGAGAAGGCAAAAGGAGGCAATGCACTTATTTTGTTGCCTCCAAGATCCAACACAGTCAAATTTGAGATATTCTTAAAAGTTTCCGAAGGCACATACCATATATCATTTGATCGCAGATATAAGCGACGAAGTAAGCGTGATCTTTGAATTGCTGGAGTCACATCTCGAAGTTTGTTGAAGGAAAAATTAAAAACTCTCAGTCCTTGAAACGTTTCAATGTTATCCAAGGCAGACAGCGGCAATTCACTGGAACTTATATCCAATATTTCCAGGTTGGACATATTCCCGAGACGTCTGGGTAAATAATAGCTACCAATAGACGTATTCTGCATTCTTAAGGTTCGCAAATTTAACAAATTCATCCAGCTGAAGTCTGCGCTTCCTCGGAAGTTATTGTGACTTATATCCAGTGACTCTAATGTAATTGGAAAAATGTAGGGCTTATTTAGAGAAGTTTTATCTAAGAAATTATGTTGCAGAGACAGGTGTTTCAGAGATGTCATATTGCGTATCTCATAAGGAACCTCACTCAGGTGATTGTTGTCCAAGTACAGCGTCTCCAGGGAAGTGGCTCCATCTAGTGATATGCGACCATAACGAAGTGCATGAAATGTGCCACTCAGATCAACAGTCCTTAACATTGGATAGCTCGAAAAACTCAGAGCATCTCCATAGAAATCCAGTGTAGCATGGTATAGTTTAAGTATACGTAATGTGTTTTTCAGACTGTTCAAGAAATGCGTAAGTCCTCTGCCGAAAGGATCGTCCAATCTCGAGTATGACATGTCTATTTCATACACGGAACGCTTGTCATTGCTGTAAAAGTTGCATGTTTGTGAACAGCTGATAAGTAATAAGTGACTGTGACTGAAATCCAGAAGCTCTACTGTCGCATTCAAAGAATTTAATGTCGTACAAAACGAAAAACAATCAATAAGAGAACACACCATCGTCCACAAATCCTGCTCCCTGGTATCTCCGTATGTGCTTATATAGCATTCCTCACAGTAAGGAATGAATGGACACCTTGCCTGTACTGTGGATACAGCGATAGCCGCCGTAAGATACAGCAACAGAGACCAGAATGTGGTAAACATCTGAAAAATAAGAAGTGCAATTATTAATTTAACAAAATTACAGGTTTGCACTGGTAGTACACGTATATCTTATGCCGCCGATAATACCAAGTAGGCCCCTACTAGGGGGTTTAAACTTCTACAAATCATTGTCTCTCCTGAATTCGATCGAAATAGCTAAAAAGCATGTTATTTGTAACTATATATGGAAATAATAAAGGACTTCAAGTAGGCCTATACACTATATAGTGTGTACATTATGGCAGGTACACGCTTTGTGTCCTGTGCTCTTGATGGGTATACAACATTGGTCAAAAAGGTTAATTGTTCCACCCCCAATTCCATGTGCTTATATTTACAAATGATAAATATCAATATTTTTAACATTAATTCAAATTTAGAATGTGCACCCCCTCTAATCCGGTGTTTTACTGAGACTTCCACAGAAGAGACTATAAATGACTGTAATCTTAAGTAAACTGTGGGTACGGTCCCACAGCTGTGTTTCATGAAATGTTGAATCAGGTTATTCTCTGTCTATATTTCGCGAACAAGAGCATTAATTAAATGTGAATCTCGCACTCACCTCTGTTGTCCGTTTTGTGAAGTTTTAGATAACTTTTTACTCCAACAATGTCATGGGCAGTATACCGGTATATGATCTAATATTACTTCCTTGTTCTAAAATAAATTGTATCCGGGCATTTTGTCAATCTCAGTTCATATTACTGTGTAAATATAGATAGGTACGCTGTAAAACACAATGGCAGATCAGATTCAGGAATAGTAGTATGCATAAGGCTTCTTTCAGACCCCCCCCCCCTCTCTCTCTCTCTCTCTCTCTCTCTCTCTCTCTCTCTCTCTCTCTCTGTGTGTGTTTCTCTGTCCCTCTCCATTTATACTCATCCAGGAGTCAAAATCCTCTAAAATGATACCAGATATATATAACGTATAAATTGATGTGCGACAAACAGTATATTTGAAAAAAAAATCAATTATATGTTTAAATTAAAAAAGACAAACAAACTGTTAAAAGTGTCTTATAAGTGGTAAATATTTGCTAATCATACATACCAATACATTTATATACTGTACATGACTTTAATAGCTTGAAGGTTGTACCCTTTAAAAACAGCCTAAAAACGACATTTGATAAAATATTTTGTCATTATGTTATCATATATTATTTTTATATCTCGATTTTATTGGGGAATGGGATTGTGAGGGATTTTCAGAAGTGAATTGTCAGGCGGGGGGTGCATTCCCTGGGTGGGATGGGGGGATTTTTCGAGTGGGTGAGGGCGGATTGTCCTGACACCTCTTACTGATTTATTTATTTATTTTGTTAGTTAGTTAGTTAGTTAGTTATTTAGTTAGTTATTTAGTTCGTTCGTTAGTTAGTTAGTTATGTATTTTTTCGGTTTGTTTGTTTGTTTGTTTGTTTGTTTGTTTGGAGAATGCATGCAATTCTTTATTCTCTTACTTTAGAATCTACCCTATATTTTTCACTGTAACGAAACTACTTTGAACGACGTAGTTGACATGCTGGTCGACTCATCCTATAGGATGATGTCAACCAAGTTGACGTTTTCATGGCACCTCCTAAAGGAGATGGGAGTGGTTAGATCAGGCCCCGGGTTACAAAATAACTTAAGTCAGGTTCCCTGGCTAAGAACTTAATTACATTTAACCCTATCATGAGCAGTGTTACAGCGTTCTCATGAACCCCTAGGTACACACACTGGACAAAAGAAGTGTCACCCCCTAACTCAGAGTAATAAAAGTAGGCAGATCTTGGGTACTTATAATACCTGGTCTACTTATAATGTGACTAATGAGTATAAAACCGCTGTACCATGGGATTGTATTGTTGGTCTTGTACATGTACAGCAAATGTTATTCCTGTCTTCCTCCAATATGGCAAGATACAGGCAATTATCTAACGGTTATAGGTGCAAGTTATTAACTTGAAGAGGCGGAATATAAGCAATGTCAGTATATCGATACAATTGAAATGTTTAGTCAGAACCGTGCAGAGGGTCTGGTCTCGGTATAGAAACACTGGATTAAGAGACAAATTGCCTCTGATGGGTCGTCCAAGAAAAACTACTGGCCGTGAAGACCGACGACTGATTTTGCTGTCAAAGTTGTCAAAATTCGACACTGCTTGTCAGTTGACAACACAGTGGAAAAATTTCACACATAAGAATGTGTCTGTGAAAATTGCTAGGCGTCGGTTACATGCTCATAGAGTGTACAGCAGGGTAGCAAGACTGAAACCTCTTATATCGTTACAAAACAGGCAACGTACAGTGAACTAGGGTCAACAGGATCTGGAACTGGACAGCCTATGACAATTGGTCCTATATATTTTTTTCTGATGAGTGTCGCTTTGGTCTGACCTCTGATGACAGACGGGTACGATGCTGGTGAACTGCTGGTAAAGCATTTGAACCACATGTACTTAATTTTCGAACCCGGAGCAGCATATTCATCATGGTGTGGGACTGCATCAGCATCCATGGCGTGGGCGAATTGATAGTGGTTGATGAAAACATGAATCACTAGAAACATATCGATGTTTTGGAGTCAGGCTTGTTACCATCTATTACTAACATGTTTGGTGACAGGAATTATCCATTTGTTCACCAGGATGACAATGTTCCTTGTCACAGGACCAGGGCAGTTGATGATTGGTTTGACCAACAGGACATTTGCAGGGTGATGTGGCCTGCCCAGAGTCCGGATGCAAACATAATAGAAAATGTGTGAAATGATATGTCAAAACTTTGGACAAATGCCCGTCTAACCAGCAGAGAAACTCTGTTATATTCAGTGTTTCATGCTTGGGTCAGCATAAGCCCTGAACGCATCAGACAATTATATGAATCCTTGCTTCGTATACTGGCACCTATTGTTAGGTCACGTGGCAATGCCACTTAGTACTAATTTTGGACTTGAAACTGCATATTTTGGTTGAATGTATATTTTGTTCTGATTTTGTGATTTTTTGTGAAATTAGAAGTTTATAAAATGATACCAGGAGCATATCATTTGACAGTCATTTGTCTCCCCCATAGTATTGGCTCAGTAGGGGTGACACTTCTTTTGTCCAGTGTGTGTAATTTTGTGAAACTGGGACCAGTCGATACGGAGATGAAGTGCAAAATGTTCATTACAGGATCTCAGTTGAAGAGAGCTGAAGCCACCATTACAAAACATGCATTCGATGAGGTGGTGGATTTAGAGGGGGGTGTCAAGGGGGTCCTGACCCCTCCCCCTTCGATTTCTGAAAAGAAATTACACCAATGGCCCCCTCGTGAAATTAGAATTTTGATTAGCCGAATCATATTTCTAAACCATACCAAATGGCACCGTTCGCCCTCTAAAATACCAAAATTTCGGGGGACCCTTCCCTTTAGTGGGCCCCGAACCCCACGTCAAGGGGAGGGGGACGGTCGGCTTTGCATCCGCGGACTCCCCCCCCCCCCCCCCCC